TGCATTAGCTTCATAAGGTGGAAGTTTGCACCCTCCTCTGTTGGTATGAGTATTTGATCAACAGTGGGTATTCATCCTCTYTGATCAGTTGCAGCAAGATATGAAAGGTGCACTGCTATTTGAAGAAATTTATAAAAAAGGGAATATTTTGTTTTTAAAAGATGAGGAAGTTGCATGGAGAAAACAGTGTCTTCTCCATTTGGTACTATTCTAAACAATGATAACTTGCCACTTAAAAATATAATGTATTTTTTAAGAAAAGTCACATCCTCAAAGCTGATGATTGCACATATGAAGAAATAAAGATGATATCTATAAATGCAATGGTCAACATAAAAATGCCTAAAATGCAAATACTAATAACACTAATTTTTCCTTTCATCGTGATGATTMAAAATTGCTTGTAACATCAGCTTTGTAAAATCTCAGACAGTGAAGCTAGAACTTTTTACTCTGTATCTGTGCTCAGTTATCAGTTGTTTAGAATGCAGCGTAGTTTTCCAGGTTTCTTTAAGATTTTTCAAATATGATGTTATGTGCTTGCAACTAGAACTGAGCTGCATGAAGTAGAATTAAGGAGGACAAGTTGTGTTTAACGACTAGTAGGATTTTCTTCAGCAAAGAACTAAAGGGCTGAGGTTTTCCTGAAGAGAAGCAGTCGTTTTATACGAGCACATTGTGCAAGTTGCAGCCAAGTTGTACTGACGTTGCAGGTTAAGGCTAAGAGCTGCTTTTCTTCTAATAGAGCAGTGCAAAATGGGGAGTTACTAAGAATCTTAAAAATAAAAATAAACAGGCCCCCGATTATTAAGCACCTTTTTTTCCTTTCAGATTAAGCCCAACGGGACCTGTGGCCCGAAGCTGGGGACGCAGTCCAACAGCGACCCCTTTGAAGATTTGTCCTTTAAGCTGCTTGTGTCCACGATGCAGACGTGCGCTCCGACGCCGCCCGGTCCAACGCGGAGCCCGCAGGAGCCGGCGCCGTTGCCTCCCGCAGCGCGGACACTCGCCGGTCCCTGGAGCCCCGCAGACCGCACGCCAGCAGCGCCGCCTCTCCCGACCTCCAACGCGTCCCCGGAGCGCGCTCCAAACCCCTTCCTCGCTGGACTGAGCTGCACAAATCCCTTCGCCGAAAGAATTCCCAATGCTGGAAACCCCTTTAGAACAGAAACCCGGGAATCTGAAGTAGCTTCACGCGTCCTAGAAGGACCCGCCGCTTGCAACCCCTTCCCCTCCCTGCGGCCCCCGACTCGCGCTACGAGCAAGCCTGTGTTTTCTGTTGATGTCTTTGAAAACAATTTTTGCTTCCAAAGTAGATCTTTCGTGGGAAAGAGTGCCCAGCCCAAAGGGTGGGTAACGTTTGACGACGACGAGGAGAATTTCAATGCAAAGCTAAAGCCATCTAAAAGTGTTCCAGATTTTAAGCAAATCGGTTCCAGGAGGTCAGCTGGATCCCCAGATTTGCTGGGCACTGAACAAAATACTTTTCTCGGCTCAGACTTTACCTTTGGTCATGACTGGAATAAAAGTTCTACAGATTGCTTCTACACATTGCCAGCAAGACGGCCACCTGCACCTCCTTTGCCATCAAGAATCAGCAGCAACAGGTCCCCTGCCGATCCTTTCGCTTCTTCAGCACCTAAGGTGTCACCAACGCAAGATTTTACAGAAAGATAGATGTGTTCAAAAATATAAGAGGTCAYGTTTGTTGCTACATTTATCCAGTAGAATAATTGGGCATTTCACAGAATCACAGAATCTTCAAGGTTGGAAGGGACCTCTAGGGATCAKCCAGTCCAACCCCCTGCTCCAGCAGGGACACCCAGAGCACGGGGCACAGGGCGGCATCCAGGCGGGTTTGGAAGATCTCCAGAGAAGGAGACTCCACAGCCTCCCTGGGCAGCCTGTGCCAGGGCTCTGGCACCCTCACAGGGAAGAAGTTCCTCCTCACATGGAGATGGAACCTCCTGTGTTTCAGCTTGCACCCATTGCCCCTTTTTTGAGATGATTCTGTGTGCATTTGAGGCATTTGAGATGATTCTGTGTGCAATAACTGTCAGATGCACTGAAGCCTAACTCTACTCATAAGCAGCCGCTATGGTTTGTGTATAAATTTTGAGTATGTATATATGGTAGAGCACAAAAAAAAAAAAGGAGAGATGAAATTTATTGAAATCCAGATGTAATAGTATTTGAATGGATAGAAGGAAAAGAAAAGGAAAAACTACTAATCTCAATAAAATACACCCATTTTGGAAATAGTTTTTGCTTAGGGAGCTCTTTCACTTCTCTTTCCCTTTGAGGAATTCAAAAACCAAGGCTCCCTCCTGGTCGACTTCCCACTCCCTTTTTACTGTTTTGTTAATTGATATTTATAAGTATTTACCAAAGAGCTGCCAAAGTCTATTCAGATTTGAATGTTGCTGAGTATTGTTTTAGAAGTTGTTTAATTTATACCAGAGGCTATGGAGATTTGTAAGGTTTATATTTGAATCTGAGGCACAACGAAAATAGTTTAGCTTCAGAATACAGCTGTGTGTATTAATATATTTAGCATTTGATTTTAATTTTCAGTGTCAGTACATTTCAACTTTTAAATATTATTGTGATACACATTCATCAGCGCTGATTGAGAATAATTCCTCCATCTCATTCATTTATTCTCTACTGTTTTATAGATTTTTTTTCCATAAATTGGAAACAACCGATACAAGTGTTCCCCTGACCCTAGAAAAAAACTCCCCTTGTGCTTCGATACGAAGAGCAGGTCTTAGCAGGGGCGGAGGACTCGCTGCAGATGTTCTTGTCCCACTCGTTCCCCATGTTAGGAAGGCTTTCTTGTCCCGCAGAAAGGCCATGGAAGGAATCCACATTCCCGTTACAAGATGGAGAAGATCCCGTTGTGTGTGCGGCCTGCTGGGGCCCGCCGGGCTCTGTCCTCATTCAGCTCCTGCCCCCTCGTTGCTGCGAGCGGCAGGGGCCGCCGTGGGGCTGCCCCATGGCTGCGCAGGGCTGTCGCGGGGCCTGCCCCATGGCTCCGCAGGGCCGCCGTGGGGCTGCCCCATGGCTGTGCAGGGCCATCGCGGGGCCTGCCCCATGGCTGCGCAGGGCCGTCGTGGGGCCTGCCCCGTGGCTGCGCAGGGCCGCCGTGGGGCTGCCCCATGGCTGCGCAGGGCCGTCGTGGGGCCTGCCCCATGGCTGCGCAGGGCCGTCGTGGGGCCTGCCCCATGGCTATGCAGGGCCCCCGTGGGGCTGCCCCATGGCTGCGCAGGGCCGCCGTGGGGCTGCCCCATGGCTCCTGCCGCCCACAGAGGCCCAGGCTCCCCAGCCAGGTACACGTTAAACTCCAAGTATCGCGTTAGTGCGATGCTGTCTCACCTCGAGGCAATTTGACTGATTTCCGTGGCTCTATTTACATTCACTAAAAAGAGAGCGTTCTCTTCCCTTCCCAATTCCCGGCCCCTTAGGCCAGGCCTTTCCCTAGGCCGCGGGAGCTGGGCGCATCCTTGCAGCGTGGCCGTCTCTGGGGCACCGCACGCGCTCCCGCCCGCCCCCCAACCCGCTCTGCTCCTGCAGCAGTCGGGACGGAAACACGCCATTATAAGCATTACATCCACGGTAGCAAAGTACACGGACAGGATCCTTGAATCCTATCAAAATACTCCTTATAAAGTAATGCACTCTTCCCGCAGCAGTGCGTGGTTAGCCAGGGGCTGCAGAGGGATAGGGAGGTGACTACAGGGAGGTTTATCTTGTGCTTTTTTCCGTTCCGGCCATTAAACAGGACTTGGACATTTTAAACAGCAGTGGTACTATACTCCTTGTGCTTCAGTATGTGGATTGCCTGGTTCTAAACTGTTGCTGTTGCCCTCTGTGTGGTTGGTGTTTCGGTGTATCCCGACGTCAGCAGAACAACTTCAGCTGGGGAGCTTTTTGCTGSTGAGATCCAAGTGATACGTGTGTTCTGTGTTGGATATTCAATTACAGTGATTAAAAGCACCCGCTGCCTGCAGTGTACCTGCCGTACCGCACCTCCGCGCGCCGCCGGGCCACGGGAGGCGACTCCGGAGCTGTGCGCGGGGCGGGTGGGTGCACGTGGGTGGGTGGGAGGCAGCTCCTTCCTTCCTTCCTTCCTTCCTTCCTTCCTTCCTTCCTTCCTTCCTTCCTTCCTTCCTTCCTTCCTTCCTTCCTTCCTTCCTTCCTTCCTTCC